TTTTCGTCGCATTACACAAGGAAATGCTCGTGACGTCACGTTTGCAATTAATCTTATTGGCAACTCTCTATACAGGATTGGCAATTCCTCTGGGGGGGCAACACCGACCTTTCTCCCCTCTCATTCAAAGATGGGGGGCCGCCCCCCACCGCCCCCCTTACCGCGGTACCAAAAAAAAAGCACAAAGAGAAACGTCTTCACTGAATGTTATTCGTTCGTCACCTGATTCGAGCAAAGTTCGCGAGCAATTTAATTTCGCGATTCTCTCTAGCACGCGAAAATACAGATTTTTCGTGCCCCGCGAAATTCGCGAATTTAAAAACTTTATCGCGTAAAAGTCATCGGTTCCATTCACGCCGTGTGACAACCCAAGAGATGAGCTAGGAGATAAGCCAGGAGATAAGCTAGGAGATAAGCCATGGGATAAGCCAGGGGATAATTAGTTGAATTCTTGCACCACTCACATTCACAAGTGAACTTCTTGCTCACTTGTGACGGTGTTCATCAACCTGAAAAAATTAAAGGAAGACGGCGTGACTGAGCCGACACCTTCCGGGACAGTTTCCGGGACGGTTTCCGGGACACCTTCCGGGACGGTTTCCGTCTTCTGCTCGTCCCCGCGGAATATCGCGGAGAAGTTGCCGCTGGTCGCCATTTGTCGCGGCGGCGACTTTCGCGATCGCACGGTGACGGCGTCGGTGCCGACCAATTATTTCTATCCGCACGATCAAATTAGCTCATAGTTAGCTCATTCAAGCATTTTATTTTTCCCCGCCGCCTTGATTAGACCATTCTGAGCGATCCGAACTCGTTTATTTTAAAAGGCCGCTGACAGACCGCTGACCGCTGATCCCCGACAGCTGCACGAGAGAGACGAGCTTTCTTCGCCGTTTCCGAATTGGCGCGGATTGCAATTTTTTTTTGGCACTCTGGCCATTTTGACCGGATGCGTCGGCGCTATTTATGAGAACCTTCGGGTGGGGCATCTAAATCTGAGCATCTATTATCCCATGCATCTATTAACCCGTGCATCTATTAACCCATGCATCTCTAAATCCAAACACCTATTAATCCATGCAGCACTTAATCCTTCCACCTCTTAATCTATGGCTCCATTAATCCAGGCGATAATTAATCCCTAAGCGAAGGCACGCGGCACGGAAAATATTCAAAATCGGACACAATCCCCGGTGAAATGAGGAATCGAAGTGAAACGAGGCGAAATGAGGTGTGACGACGCGAAAGAGCCAACATCCAACCGCGATTCATCGCTGCAAATCCCGCGTGTGGGCGTGCTGGGCGTCACCGCGTCACGCACCCCAGAATCACTCACAGAATCGCTCACAGAATCACTCACAGAATCGCTCACAGAATCGCTCACAGAATCGCTCAAGGCCGGGGAAAGGAAGCGGGCCGCCCCCGCCCTCCGCTTTTCCGTCATTCCTGGAAGGACCCGGAAGTCCCGGAACGGCCCTTCACTCGGTACTTTTAAGGAAAACGACATCCGGGACCGAACACCATTACCATGACTACCATGAATACCATTACAACGAATACCATTATTAATAATTAAGCGTGAGACACGATAAGGACCAGCATCCTTTCTCTCATGACGTGATCGAGCGGCTCCTCATTAAGAAACTCGCAGATACGATCAAAAGAGTCCTCGTCGGGCCCGACGCAATTCGATTGAAAAGACTCAATCGAAGTCGACCGTCAATCGATGCTAGTTTTTTTTTTCTCGATTGAAAGTAAATTGCTTTTTTTTTGCTGCGAGATGTTTCGACTTATCGCTTACAAGTGATTTGTCAATTATGAACATTTCTGTTTTGACACAATTTAATAACAGGTGAGAGCAGAATTATTGAAATCCAAATTATCAACTTTAGTTGTATATATCATACCACATACCGTATTGTATTCATTGCGGTTACTGTGACATTTTCTTTGATTTGCATGCCGTACCGGCGACGCGAATATAATTCGTTCGTCAATTACCGAATTGCCCAATATAAGGAAAGTAATTTTATTACTTTCTCCAAGCGGCGCGAAAAAAAAGGGGAATTACTTTTATATGGCCCGGTGACGAAAGGAAACGGGAATGTGTGGGAACGGCGTTCCCACAAACTTCCCGAGTGCGGGAACGCCGCTCCTCGCCTTGATTGAAAAAAATCATTGATGCACAAACGTTATTAAATTATTGACGAGCTTCTCGAATAAGATACAGATGTGGTAAACATATTTTACCAAACGCTCAATTTTGCACAAACCTAAGAAAAAAAAAATATATATATATATATATTTATATATTTATCCATTTTGAATAATATGTGTGATATAATTTCAGGAGGGATACCTAGAGAGGCTGAAACAAAAGTGGAAAAAAAGAATGAAACAGCATCACCTGTGTCTCCCATAACAAAAGTTAGCAACAGGGACAAAGATGCTCCAATTGGTGGTGTAAGGCCTCTTCTAAAGAAGAAGAATGATGGAAATGAGAGCTACACCCCCAGAAAAATCCAAAGTTCTTCTAATTCTATCACTGGGAGTCTACAAATGAAATCAAGTGGCATACAAACAAAAGGGATACAGACTTTACCAACACCAAGACCAAGCAAGAATGGCAGCTGTAATCATGCTCCTAATTCCAACTTTCTGATGAACAATCTAGCAGATTTGCCATCATCCAGTGGGAAGCCATTTATGCATAAGAACAAGCTCTGGGAAAGTCATCTTGAATCGAACACAGTACTGACATCCAATGATGAACCACCTTTTGTACCATCTGCTCCAATTTCTGATGATGGAGTTCCAGGTAGGTCTAATCCAAGATGAATTGATTGATGTCATGAGTATGCTAATTTTAATTACTTAATTAGGCTTGGTCTACATTCAACCCAAAGATGGCCAGTATAGAGAAAAGAAGAAGGAGAGGCAGATCATTCCATGGGGGCCAGCAACACTTCTCTCTGGAGTGGGTGGAGATGGCTGCAAACTGGAGATTGATTCTTTGGTTGAAGTGACTCTGGAAGGAGATGTCTGCTATGGTGTGATCAAGTGGATTGGGCAAGCTCCTGAGGATGCAGACCCTTCTCTGAGGAGAAAAGTTCTTGCTGGCCTTGAAATGGTCAGTGACTTGAATTGAATTCCTCATACCTCATATCACCTATATTCCTATGAAATTTTTTGGGAAAGACAATTGTCCTGCATATTCTTCATTCTTATTCCTGAAGGAGTATATGTACTCAGAAGCATAATATTGCATTGAACGTCCTGGTATTGTGCAGGAAGAAGAGATGGAGACTCTCACAGATGGTACTCTGAATGGAAAAAGGTATTTCTCATGTCCACCATTGAAAGGACTCTTCTTGCCCCTCACCAAGTGTCGCAAAGATCAACGATTCTTTGAGAAGTCATCAGCCTTAGATGGCATGTTTTCCACTGTTGCATGCGGAGTATGTTGGTTGAATTTGGAATGACCTTACAGTCATGCCCTATCCCCAGCAGGATGTGAAGTTGACCGGGAGGAAGTAGTCAGGGGTGCTATAGAGCCCTGCACTGATTTGAGGGTAATGTGTAGTAGATATCGAGGCATTCAGGGTCATCTCAATTCTTGCTACCTTGATGCCACACTCTTTGCAATGTTTAGCTTCTCTTCGTGAGTGAATCCCTTCATACAAGTGTTTTTGAAAAGTGTTCTTACCTTGAGATTATCACTCATGGAACTTATTCATGTGTCATCTGTAGAGCATTTGATGGGATACTATTTCGGCCTCGAGAAGATGCTGACATTCCACAGTATGAAGCTGTTCAAGGTGTATTGAGAGATGAAATAGTGAATCCATTGCGAAGAAACTTATATGTCAAAGCTAGTCATGTGATGAAGCTTCGCACACTCCTTGATCGGTTGAGCACTGTAGCTGGACTCACATCAGAGGAGAAGGGTATGAATTTGATTCCCACAGGTAGCTTGATTCATGATCCCATGCCTTGGGCTGATATGGCTTTATTTTTTTCAGATCCAGAAGAATTCCTCCAATCTCTTCTGGCACAGACTTTGAACACAGAGCCCCTGATCAAGCTTGCAAATGGTCAAAAGTCTTTCCTCTATCAGCTCATCCCTGACAAAGATGAACGCTTAGTCCTTCCCACAGTCCAGCAGTTATTTGACCAATCTTGCCTTGGCACATCCATCAAGTTCCTTGAGGTGAATTCTACCACCCTGTCCCACTATGCTTCTGCTTACATACCTTGTGATTTTTAACTCTCTATCCATCTCCACTTGAGCCAGGTACCACCCTGTCTGATCATCCAATTGCCAAGATGTGGAAAGCAGTATAAGATGTACCCACGCATCCAACCTTCCTTAGTGTTGGATATCACTGATATATTGGAGAATGTCCCTCGATCATGTCACTGTTGCGGTCATGTGGCTGAAGAGGAGTGTCTTGCCTGCTTTGACATCATGGAGGGGCTTGAAACAACAGCCTACTGCTCCCCATGCATGACTAAGGTACTAGTGCAATATTTTTTAAACACAGGTAGTTCCGTTCTTTAAAAGACTAGAGAAATTCTCTTGGCCTTACTGATTGGCATATTTTTACTGAGATATCTGTCCACATTCATTGTTTCTAGGTGCACAGCCATCGGAAGAGGGCCCACCACAGAAGCAAAAAGCTTCAGATACCCCCTGAGGCCAGAGACATATTCCTCAGCTCAAATTCACTGCCCGTCCCAAGAGCCCACATGGAATTGTTTGCTGTTGTTTGTATTCACACATCTCATTATGTAGCCTTTGTGAAAGGAGGAAGTGGTGCTGATGCTCCATGGTGTTTCTTTGACTCCATGGCTGATAGAGAAGGTAAGGAAAAGTTGAGTCTGTGTTTGTAAGAATTTTTGGTGAATTTATTGAAATTACATTATAATCTTCAGGTGGTGAAACAGGTCACAATATTCCAGAGGTGGTGGAGCATTCTGATATTGCCTACTGGTTATCTGACAGCTGCACTCAGCAGGTACTCAGTGTCAAGGAAGATAAGCGACTCCCTGAGCATGTCAGACGGTTACTGTGTGATGGATACATGTGCTTCTATCAGAGTCATGATGTTCTCATGTATAGGTGAGAAGTGTTTCTCCCCCCTGCTGTGCAACCCAAGAGATCCCTGTGATTTTTTGTGTGACTATGGAGTTTTCCAGCAAATTTGATTCCAGTAACTACTGAAATCAGCCAGTAAAGCTGTTCTACCAGATTCACTCAAATGTCTGTGACTGCACTGCTGTGAATTTCATTAGTCCACTGTATATCCTGACTTTGTTTCTGCTCTTATGTTCTGTACAGTCAGGTGTTTTAACTCTCACATGTACTTTATTGACATGCACAAATTTATGCTCATCTTCTTTCAGTCTGACAGAGCTTCAGGATTCTTGAGGTTCATTTTGGATTCGTGGGAAGGACTTGTTTCTTTGCTGATCATCCTGGCTGAGGGAATACAAAACTTGTGATTTTGTAAACTTACACACACATATATATATATATTCATGCTTATTCAGTTTGGTAGTCATGCTCAAAAGTCTTTCTTGCAGCTAGATATGTTAATTGTGAGCTACAAATGATAATGGCAGTTGTGACCAAGATAGGAGGGATATCATGAGTCAGTGGAAGGTATAACAATTACTATTGCAATATATCAAAGTGACAATCATGAGAGTCACAGGCCTGTTGGATATTCCTTTGAGTCACCCCCTTTGAAGGAGGTCAATCATTCAAAAGGAACTGATTATTTTACATTATTGGTACTGGTAAAGCAATATACATTCCATGTTGACATGGGGGGAACGAAGCTTACATGCACTTGAACACATTTCAGATAAAGTCACCAGACCACCATGATTTAAATGATACACAAGATTATACAAAGTACAAAGAAGTATTAATAATTCCATGCTGACAAAAGGACGATGAAATTCACATTGGTATTTAATGCACTTTTATGAATCATTCATAAAGATTCACCAAATTGCTAGAAATGCAATGCTACACAAAGTTAACTGTATTGTTGGGATGTAGATGGCCTTCATGTCTTCCCTTAAATATAGGGTGGAGGAAGTAAAATTGGTGGACTCCAAGAGGATAGGGAAAGCACGTGTTTTAACAGTTTTACTTACAGAGTTGTGGCATTACAGCCTTGAGTGCTGGGAGTGGGCACACAATTCCAAAGCTAATTAATTTATGGCACTGTTCAAGCATTTCTGTTTTCATTTTTTACTTGTGTCAGGCTGTGTATGACTACCTGGTATAGCTATTCCAAAACTTTTTGGCAATGACCTCATTCAAGAGCACCCTCCAAATGAATGAAAATGTTCCATTGCAGAAATCCTCATTCATTTGAAGAGAACCTGAATGGCATCACCTAAAAGCTGTGGAACCACTATGCAAGGCTTTTTTTGTTGGCTGACAGTCTCTCAGCAGGAATCTTGCAATGAAGTGTGATGGATCCCAAATATTGAAATCCTTAACTTTGTTTTATTCATGTGGAATGTTGATGAAAGCTGTGGAATGAAAGTTAATATACATATTTCTTCCTAATAAGACAATCCCTTCAGGTGAACTCTGGGAATAGAAGCTGATGTATTGTTCCTCTCAAAATGCTTGTCACTTTCTATGTACTCTCCTTTGGCTTGGGCCAATTTATGATTCTAGAAGTCAGGGGTTTAGCATTTCTCAGCCAGCAATTCAGGGAGTAGTTATGGGGATTGGGTAGGAGGTGTTTAATAGAAAATCACTTCATGAGCAGGACCTGTCCACCGAATGACTGTTTCATTAAAATGGTACCATTTTGCTGATTAAAAACTAGTGCTTTGGTACCATTTCAGAAAGTATAAGCCTCACTCCATGACTCTTCATAGTGATGCCTTCTAAGCATAATGGAGTTACATAACTATCTTCACTGCCTATTCAATGCACTGTTTAAGAACATTGCAGAATGCAGTAAAGGCCTAGTCTTGCTCCAGGAATGCAACATTAAATCTAGCTTCCAATTTTCAAAATGGAATAAACCTGAATGGCTCTGCACCTTGTTGCACCTTTCAGTTGCCTGCAGATGGTGGTTAGGAGCATGATAGCATAATTCAAGTGTTTCATGAAATCCATTCCACCCTTACCAATGATCACAGAGCACTAATACAAAGCCGATATTCCTTTCCCTTCTCCCTAGTTTACAATGAAAACATGGCCTCCAACTTTCAACTAATACTGGTAAAACTTTTACTGGAAAATTCCATTACTGATGGTACTAATTCTATATGCCAAGCACTGCTGTAGACATCACTCAACTGAAAGTGATGTTTCAAAACTGTCAGATCTGAATGAGTGCCTTTAGTTTCACCAGTGTTAACAGAACCTATTTAGGAAATGACTTTTTGCAAAATGATCCTCCTCTACCAAAACCTGTTTTTCAGCGAACTGAGTTTTCTGTGAAACAGATCTGTCAGTGAATTGATTTTCTGAATGAATCGCCGTGCTCCAGATTTTGTGCAGGGATAACAGAGTTTTTGTTCTGATTATGATTTTATTCAGGGAAGCATATTTCTTACCCAATGTGTGCTGGTATTACTGACTGCAAAATGATATTTGTAGCTGGCATCTAATATTTTCAGCATATGGTCGGATCTGATGAGCACAAAATACTTTGAATTTAAAAACTTTCAAAGATTCAGAAGTTATTTACTTCATCAAGAAATGTTTAAATTCTTGCTATCATATAGTTGGTGGGATGCAAAACAAACATACTCTGAATCTCCCACCCAAACTCCTGAGGATACTGTAGTTAGAATGGGAACTAAGTCTTTTGGCAACACAAAAGTGTAGCTAGTAAAACTAAGAACTAAATTTGTAATTGAAATTCACAAACTACATTGACTTATAAATTCACAAAATTATGCTAAATGTGAAAATTGCACTTGCTGAGAGCTTTGAATTGAGTGGAATAAAATAAAAAATAAGGTTGGTGGGATTGGATTAAAAATTTGCATAAGCCACTTATGAAGGCCACTCAAGTCTGTAATTTCATTCTTGCATGACATTAATAGCTCTGAATTATTCTCAAGTCAGTGTCACTTATAAGTGGGTATGATACATACAATATATCTGTCAAGGTAAGACACACCCTGGGTGGGTATGATGAGTTCACCTGTCAAACAAACGAGCTTCATAGTTCCCTTCTGCACCCAGAAGTGGTGCACAATCAGCAGAAAAATGAAGAGGCTTTGTGAGCCCTGCATTTCTGGGTATGACAGCTGAAATTTTTTATGATTCTGACGAAGAAAACATAGATGCTGATGACGATAAGGATTGGTGTTCCAATGAAGACTCAAGTGGGTTCAAGCAATGATATAGTTGTTTCAATTGAGGAAAAGTAAGGAAGAATCTGATCCTGAAACTTTTGAGGGTGGATGGAGTTGTGATGGGAACTGAAGAGATAAGTCCGAATTTAGAGGAAACTGAAGTGCAATTTTCTGTGGAAGATGAAAAAGATGTTTTGCAGTATTTCCAACTTTTCATTGGGAATGATTTACTGGAAATCATAGCAACCAAGACAAATAGGTACATGTGACAATACCTACAGTATTGCAAAAGAATTTGTACCACCTTTAGCATTGCACATGGTAACTCTATGGATCATCCAATGCAACAGCAGAGGAAGTCCAACTCTTGTTTCAATTCCAGAAGATAATGTCTCCCTCCTGCATCAGACAGCTACATTGCATCAATAGGTTAGTCACTTGGGAAATGTACTGTAAAGATGACGATGCACAGCCCATATGAAAGGATAGATGAGTCATTGAGCACAGGATCGTTGTGAAGCACCAGGCTGGGCAGTCATGCCAATTTCCTGAGCTTGAACAAATCAGAGTAACAAAACCTGTTTTTCCCACTCATCATTTTCATTGCAAATGGAAAAAAGAAAACTGTTTCCTTTATACTTTGTTCTTGGCTCACTCTTATGTTCTTATCCTCAAAGTTTCCATTCTACTGTAGGTCACTCTACATATGTTGAATGCTGCCCAGGTGCAGTGAAGAAAGCCCTGCTGTCCGGGTTGGGAGGATTCCTCCATAGAAAAGCATGGACTCCCTGTTAAAGGTGGTACAGATTCATTTGCAAAACACTGTAGAAAAGAATCTAAATCCTAATCTGAGGTCCAGAGAGAAAGACTGGGTGGAAATGAGTGTGGCAGAGATAAATCACTGCTGGGACTTCTGCTGTGACAAGGTATCATGAGAAAACCTGAGAACAAACTATTTCTTTTAACATGAATGTATCAAATTCTTTTCTTTTGGAAAGCTGTGCCTGAGATGAAATTTCACTTGTTGAAATTTCTAAAATTCATCAGCAACATGTTCAATGCTGAGTCATCACAAAAAAGTATTTTCAGAGTAAAACCTGCCCTTGACAATATTTAGAAGTAGTTCAAATCCATGTATATTCCAAAGAGGGAAATAACAAGCATATTCTTGACATTGCCATTTTAAACACATTCATGGTTTACAAAAAGAACTAATGACAGCTGTGGAGAATGGAATTCATGATGTAACTTCTTGAAAGACTAATAACTGAAGGGGGCATGTATAATGAAGCCAAGAACCAGACACACTTCCAAATCACCAAAGCCAAGTAGGCTTATGAGAAGAAATTTTCATATTTTTCCACCAGAGACATCAAAGAAGAACCCTACAAGAAGGTCTATTGTAAGCTACAAAGGGGGTAAGAAAAAAAAAGTTGGAACTGGTGTCCAGAAGGCAAAGTAGGGGCTCTTCCCTGCACCTTATTTCAAGAACTATCACACCAAGGCCAGCTACTAGGTAGATTGCTGAAATTTTGTATTTCATTATAACTAGATGGGTATTTGATTTATACACAAAAATAATTAAACCAACTCACAAGGAAAAATGTTGCCACTTTTGAAATGACTTCTGGTTGAAAAAGCCCCTTCTTACAGAGTTAAATGTCCCTTACAGGGGAAACCTATCTTATTCAAAATATAAGTTGTGCCCTTCCCAGGTGACTTCCTTTGAGATGAATTTGTAGCTTCTAACCATCAATATGTAACAGTTGGTTCTAGGATGGCTTCCCACCAAAAATTTGTCAAAAACTGTGCACCTGTGATAGACCAATGGAATATTTTTTATTACTCTATTTCATTTTCTGCAGACTTCAATAATAATAAAATCCATTAATTAGAACAATGTTGTCCCTTGGATGAATGGAAACTAATCCCTTCAAGAACAGTGATGCAACAAAGGATCACATCTGAAAGTAGCATGATGGTCATCTATTATTGCTTCATTTCTATTCAGCAACTTGTACACTTACAGATATCACAGGACATTCAATTTGGAATTTCACCTCTCATCACTGGTGTAAGGAATGACAAATGAAGAAAAAACTGTATTCATAGGTTATTTGTCTTTGGCATCACTCTCTCGGATTCCATCACTTGCCATTCTTCTCCCTGCCATTTCCAACAAGGCTTTGGCTTCTGGATCCACATCCAGCACACTAGCTCGTTCAGTCTGCAATTATAAGGAAAGTAATAAATTGGGGAAAAGGATACATTTATAGACAAGAGAAAATGAGTAAGCATGTTTTGTCTTTAGCCAACTTCCATACCTCATCAACCTCAGGCTCCTCCCCTACTCCCCAGACCTCCATGTGGTCAATGTAAAATTCTTGACTCTTGCATAACTGGGGACTGTGGTATGTAGTGCATGAAGCATTAGCTCTTCCTGTTCCAAATTCACTATCAAGCCATAGTCCAAAATATTCCAACCGTCCTCCAAATCCCTATAACACAATACAAAAAGTACGATATACTTGTCAGATATTCAGAGTAATATAATACACTTCAAAGGTTAACCTGGCAAATTTGTTTTCAATAACTTCCATTATATGTAGAAATCTGAAACATACTGTCCTTCAAAAGTTTCAAGACACGTGTTCACCATCAAGATTCTCCATAAATTGAGCACATGTACAAAGATGTTCATACTAAGGGATAGCAGCAATATTACAAACATCAAGCCATGAAATTCACCATTTTACCATATTCAGACTCAAGTCATTGCAGCTTGTCAGAAGTGAAATAGTGACTCCACAAGAGAAGGCAAGTGCATGTTGCGGTTTGTGGAGTTAAGTCAGTCACACAGTTGCAGCACAAGTTCAGAACTGTTTGTGGCAAAAATCCTCCTGTCTATGAAAGAGGAGCTCCTGTAGGCTTTCAACATTGGATGCCAATGTTGAATATGTATAGGAAACCTTTGGGTGCAGCCCAAGATGGTCTGTATGCTATGCCAGTAGAGATGCCACCTGAGCCTTTCAGCACACTTCCTGTGCTCTTAAATTGCTTCATCAATTGGTATGCTGAATCATAGACAGGAGGATCCTTGCTGTAAACAGTTCTGAACTTATGCTGCACTTGCTTTCTCTTGTGGAGTAGCTATTTCACTTCTGACAAGCTGAAAAATAGTTTTAACAATTTATTTTAAAATTTGAAATGCATGTAATAAAACTAGAAATATCAAGTCTTTGTTAGCTGCAAACCACATATATGTATATTTATCTGTTCATGATTTATCTAAAAGATTAAAATTGTACTAATCTTTTATGGACACCCTGTACTTTTACTTTCAAATAGAGACATCAACAGAGAAGTCTCTCAATTTTCCCAACCTGTGACACTCACCAAACCATTGGGCATTGTTTTCTGGTTGGTGTTCAAATAAAGATAGTTGGAATTATATCCAGTGCTATGGTATATTCATACCTGCCATCCCAAGGATTAGGATGGTAGCAATCTAGACAAATATGGTCTCACCAAAATACTTTGGTCCACATGACCAACTAATAGGTGCATATCCTCCAAAAACACAAGCAGTCTTATCTCTGATGATTAGCAATGTAGCTCCCTTCCTCATAATCTTGCCCAAAAGAGTTGAGAAGCTTTCTCCATGAAGCCTTGTTGAGAAGAGCAGCCTCCATTTCTTTCTGTACTCCACTGGAATACCACTATTCAAAGTGAGAACATCTGCTAGCTTCAAGATTGATGCAGCCCTCACTGAATCAGCCTGCACTGGTAGTGGAACCATAGACGGCTGTGATTTGCCAAGAAATACACGAGAGAACACAGTCTGTTGTAACTTTGGAAAAAGTTGGCTTTCCAGGTACCACCTTTCCAATTTGTCCCGGGTGATCTCTCGCAGAGGAAATTCTTCATCAAAACATGCTTTCAAAGACATCTTTTCAAACACTAGGTCTTGCAAAATATATTCAGCAAAGCGTTCAGCCTCTGCCTCTTCAGACTGAAATGACCACTTTGACAATTCTGCTGAGTCTGCTGCACACTTTGCATACGACTGAAACATATTCTTCACATACTACAAAAGAAAGACAAAGTGTGCATTTAATGACGAAGAGTGAACTCGAGCATATCACCCCATATTTCACAGCATGCTGGTTTAAAATGAGGCTTCTCCAACTGCCATTTTAACCCATGATGTGTGTACATACTGAAAGTATAAAATGCTTAAAGCTTTGAAAAAGTCCTCCTGAAAAATGACTTTATCTGATTCTTGAGTAAGTATATTGAGAAATAATCTCCTCTCCAATCAAAATGAAAGTAGATACCATTGTACAATGAATTGAAAATTCAATGTCTTACAAGAGATTATATCTACCCCTACCTCTCTCTGGCTGCTGCACAGGCCAAAATGTTGTTTTCTTTTGTTTAGAACATTTGCAAAAGAAATGATTTTCCCTCAATTGCCAAGAGCTTGCCTTCATTGGAGGATCATGTGCTCAAAAAGTTCATGATGCTGAACCTCATTCATACCTGCAGGCTGCAAAATGAGAGGTATGCAAAAGAACAGCTGATACTAGGGGAAAATGAATGTATCTGACCTCCTTCAAATGCTGACTCTGTGGGGGATCACCAATGCTCTTGAGAATGAAATCAGTTTCATTGTCCACAGACATCTTCAGTACCAATGATGCTAGTTCTGCAAATGTTATCAAGGATACTTGTCCCTGTTTCCCCTCTATTGCAAGCATGCTCTTCAGCAACACTCTTGACATATACTCCGTTGTCCATTTCTTGATATATGCCTAGAAAAAGAATATTAAAAAATATATAACTGGTAGGATAAAACAAAAATAACCATGTTTGCCTGGCATTCCCATTTTGGCAATGGTAGCCCTACCGTCCTCTTGGCCATGGCTGCCCATACTTAAAAATAGTTAGTCTCTAATTGTTGTTTCATAAAAACATCCCAATTCCTGCATTGTTATTAATGTGGGGAAAAGAAAGGGATACACCATATCAGTCATTTTAGTATGACTTGGAACATTTTCAGCTACTTTTTCCATGTTTTTCAATTGACTGAATGGGGATCATACCTTAGCATGACCTAAAATTGGAAAATACTGGCAAGGAATCCAATCCAAAAGTATCAGAAGATGTCATAACTGTGATAACAGTAAAGTAAACATACCACATAAAGAAAGTGTGTTCCCCCAGTCTTCCATGTTTCCAGATAAATTCAACTGGAAACATGCAGCATCAACTGGAATTTATTTTATCATAAACATTAATCTAACCTAACCAAGCCTAACTTTAGGGGGAACAATATCTCGACGGGGTATGCACTTGACCAGCACCCATAACTGTTAATCATTTACACACTTAGCCTAGGCCTCAGAGGTTAACATTTCCCAAACTTAAGGAAGCTCAGTAACACGAAGGACGTAGGAGACGCCTGTCGCGCAATCAAGGGACTTAGATCTAGGTCTACGCCTAGACACTCACCTCCATGTGGCCAGCATTCGTTTCATGGTTCCCCGAAGAAATATTACTGAAAAGATGCTGTAACCCCTCTTTCTCCTCTTTGGAGAGGGATGTGAGGGATTCAAACTTCCTTCGACTTGAACCTGCACCCATTGACTCGCACTTTCAATCGGGGTATGTCTCGCCAGGTTAAATTTTCCCTGCAATATTTTTGAACCAATTTGACGCCAGTAGAGTTTTACACCAATCGGATGTTGGTGTACATTAACATATGACTTAAGTCCAGGTACCTTCCAAGGTAGTTTTAAAAAACATCCTTGACCACAGGGGGGAGGGGGGAAACCTTGAACTGAAAAGCTAAAAAGGCAATTGCTGAACAACACAGCTGCGAGCCCATGCGCTCTACCACGAGGTTTCTGGTAGAGGTGTAGAGGGAACCCAAACTCGAACTGGAAGCCTGTCCGGACCGACCGGACGGAATGTAGTAATTTTTAACCAGGGAACCCGAACTGAATGCAAACTGCATTCAATATTGAACCGACGAATGCAAATTGAAGACAAACCTTGGATGGGGCGAACTCGAACCGCACTTTCCTCTAAATTTAAGTCGAGAAAGAGTCCGCGTTCGATGCGGGTTCGCCTACTCTATAGTTCACCCAACGGCTTCATGGAGAGATGGCGCTGGTGTATGCCCATGAGCCTCGTATCCTAAGTGGTACAATACACTGTTTTCGAATTTAATTCGTTCCCCCCTTCCCCGGGTAGTGGAGAACGGAGAAAACCATATTTCCAGAGGATCCACTCCATCAGATGATCCAAGAAATACCCTTTTGAAAGGTGTCACTATCTGCAATCCATGGAAGCACTCCGATGGGAGATTTCTGATTGAATTCGTACGCTCCAAATTACTACAAAGCAGATGCGCAAACCGTGCAACGTATTGCTGAATGCATGCACTCAAAAAATACCGCTGTTGCGTTTTTTTTATGAAGGAGCACGAACGGAAATAACGTTCCAGTGAAACATTCAGGAAACACGAGTCTTCGAACATTCCAAATACGCGCACGACCAAAATCACAAGGCATGACACGAAATTCACGACTTGGTTACGTTCCCTTGTCTCTCGTTCAGTTTCTGGTTCTCGTGGATCGTGGTCAGGAATCCCGCTTGCAAGCCTGTGTCCGTCAGAAAAAAAAATTATACCTCAGAACCATGTGATTTGGAATTATGAATTACAATACGGTTGGCTGCGAATGAAATAAACATGACTCATGTTGAGAGTCTGCAACCAGCAGTGTGGCATACAACTATCGCACCCACACACTGCTTCTTTCATGAAATCGACAAATATTTCGGAAAATGTGCTCAAATGAATAGTTGTTCGAATCACACGTAACACGCACGGTTTGTCTACTTAAAATGCAACCCAAAAACTATTCCTGAAACTGAGAGGATGAGTATGGAAATTCGATATTTGATCGAGATCTTCCATGATATGTGCCCTACACACGTTTCTCAGAAATGTTGGAATCGGGGAAGTTCCTTCAGCCTCCGGCCACCCGTACGGGAGTTCCAAATAATGACATAATGCATGATATCAAATATGGCCACATATGGGCTCTTTGTTTAAAACATATATGACACAAATATCCCCATATAGGTCCATGTCATGTTTTCGCCACATTTTCCCCTAACTGCTTCCAGCCAAAAGCATATACAAGGTGTCCGAGAATGGTTGCATCGGTTTCGAATCGAAATATCTCATTAATGGGGAAACATAGAAACATGGGGCTTGCACTAAAATGAAGGTTAGAGTTGCGAATTTACGCACTTACACAATATACTTAGTACTTCGTTAGTTTCCAGATGTGAGGTGCTTTAAACCACTTTCCTCTGTGTGTCACTCCAAAAGCAGTGATAATGGCCTCTGTGCACCAAAAGGCTAAGTGCGTGATATGGTTAGCGCAATTTCAATTGAATTTACGCCTTTGCACAACATCCTTAAGTTCTCGAAGTTCGAAAGAAAATGTCTGGTAAATGCATTGCGCATTTTCCTCCTCAGTGCGAGGCCTGCCTGCCAGGAGATGCTTTTGGTTCCACATTTCCACTCTCTTCAAATTGTTTGTTCCATCTTCGAATGGAGTATTTGTGAGGAAGTTCTGTATCATACACGCGTCGAAATTCGCGCTGGACATGAGTAACGGATTGAAATTGCGCTAACCTTATCACGCATTTAGCCTTTTGCTGCACTCACTGCTTTTGGAGTGTCACACAGAGGAAACTGGTTTAAAGCACCTCACAGCTGGAAATGAACGAAGTACTAAGGATATTGTGCAAGTGCGTAAATTCGCAACTCTAACCTTCATTGTAGTGCAAATCGCATGTTTCTATGTTCCCCCATTAATGAGATATTTCGATTCGAAACCGATGTAACCATTCTCGGACATCCTGTATAGCCAAAGTGTCCCAATACATCCTTTACATACCACCGTATTCAGGGCTGGTCCTTGCTATTTCGGCGCCCTGCGCAAAGAGACTCCGAACGCCCTCCACCGGGTCAATCCCTAAACGTTCAAAACGACGCCGAAACGGGAGGCATTTCCTCTTTCAAAAGTAAAACTGAGGGTGGCTTCCGGATTATTGCTTCATATATTCATTCACGTTTTGGCGCCCCTGGTGAATAAGCGCCCTGTGCGGGGGCACATGTGGCACATGCCAAAGGCCGGCCCTGACCGTATTTGGTACTTCCGTAAGGGCATCATCCAAACAACTGTACGTGGCGATGCAGAATGTTTCGCACACATTCCTGTGTCTCCTAGGATCCTGGGTTCTTGGTTTCCAGAGTTACGTTCGGCAGGAGTTCCTCGAGGGTGGGTGAGCTGTACTTAAAGACTTGCCCATTCGGATCCTGACGAAAAGTAGCATGGAGGGGTAAGGTGAGGGGATTGCATGAGCCAGAGGCCCTTAGAAATCTTGTCACCAAAGAAGGAGTCCTGCAGTGCTAGTATACGAGACGCGTTTTTAGTGTCCATAAGCACCATCTCTCAGTGAAAATTTTGGACGAACTGCAAATGTGCCCTTCCGTGAATGTATCGAAAATATGATAAATGAGTACGCCCGCAAGTGTTCATTTGCATCTACTGACTTCCGTCACGGGTGCCATTAGATACACTGCTCTCGGATTGAATCCGTATCCCCTCCCTACAATGGAAAACGGAGAAAACAACTTCCAGAGGATCCGCTTCATCAGGTGACAGAGGTCACGCAGATCTGCCTGGATACGATGGAAACGCTCTCATATGGAGGAGGGTTCGAATTCGATCCGAAAACGGTTGGTTTCAAGAAGCTTTGATGATGCCAGATAACTTGCCTGCTGCTCGTTTAATTTACTAGTGTTTTAGATTTATAACTCGTGACATCGTGGACATTTTAAGGTCCGAATGCTGAAACCTTTAGTTAATGGTCGTATAAGAATCTATGGACTCCAATGGGAGAAAGAAGAGCTCATTGGCTTTATTTTTTATCTCGCCTAAACGAGGTTTCAGCATCCGAGCCTAAAAATGTCCACGAGGTCACGATTTATAAATCAAAAACATTGTAATAAATCAAATGAGCAGCAGTCAAGCTATCTGTCTAACATCATCAAAGCATCTGGCAAGTACTCGAAGAAACAAGGTTCCCACAACCGCAGCGAGATGACGCCTCAGGCCCGAATATAATTTATTGAAGATAAAGGGACCTTAAGTTAAGGAGTTCTTTTCCCCCGTTGGAATCCATGCATCTTAAAAGACCGTTAACTCAAGGAAGTTTTTGCTTTCGGACCTAAATCGCCGCTGTAGCAAGGAAGGTTTGTAGATATAGAGATCTACAGACCTCGGTAGCTACCGAGTTATATCCTTGACAATCACTGGGAATTCTGAAGAAAGAGACTGTGTCAGTTCATGGGAAGCGGAAAGGATCCATCTATTCGCGCTGGTCTTGGCCAAATGATGTCAAGACCTTTGAATAGGCTTTTGTTCATATAAACGGCGAAAAAGACAATAGAGTGCATAATTAGTTTCTGTTTTTTTTTTTCAACATGACTAGGACACTCATGGACGGGATGCGTGAATGTTCGAGCGAGTGAAAGACATTACATATGACGTCGTGCAGCGCTTGGGTAGATCCAAAGGACACTTTATTCTATGAAGAGTGAAACTTACTAGTCGATATCTATCTAAGGACACCCATGACGTCAATGGATGCGATGGGACTCGCTGCCGTAGGACTTTGAACATATTATTTCGTGTTCCGAATATGGGAATGTTTTCATTCTATCGGAATGAGATCTGGATGAGATTCCTAACAAGTCCGGAGTGATCGAGTGGATTCAAAGGCAGCGATTCCTCGAGGGGTGAGGGAGAAGGGCCGGAATTCCACAACTGTGGGCCCCTTGGCCGCCACTGCGATGCGTTACGACACCGTCGTCAAACCGAGCATCACTGCTTCTTCCGATCGTTTATTTCTTCTATTCGAAGGGCGTGAAGCAGAGATCGAGTGGGTGTCAATATCATGAAAATTCATGACACAGGAGTTCATTGTCGAGTGAGACGACAGCCTCTCGACTCCAGTGGCGAGGCTGCGGTGACGCCAGACGGGAACGGTGGAATCCCTTCGCCGGGATCACATCGGAGACATAGGCGTGTCGTGTTGGAATCCTTGAAGCAGGAACTGGTATACTTCGTAGCAGGGGCGATGCTTCTAGCTTTTTTCCTCAAGCTCATAAAAGATTTATTCGGCTCCCGGGGGCTTGCAGTGAAAGTCGTATTAAGGCATGTCAGTAGAAGCCCCTGCCCCTCTCTTTCCCACAGAAATTTACGCAAGAAAATCCCATGCTCTCCTACGTCCCTGATGATGACCGCTAGAAGGAGCGATGAAGACAAAGAAAGGGGAGATATGACCGGTCCCGGTGAGTCTATGGTGTGGTCAGGGGGTGTTTAACAGGAACCTCTTTATATTCTTTTTTTTTCCGCCTTTCTTCGTTCAGCCTCAGGCTATGGCAGAGGGATTTGATTTCGTAATGGATGCGAGCTGGGGAGTTGGGCCATGCAACCACTCTCTCTCTCTCTCTCTCTCGGTCACCAGCCAGTGCCAATATAGAGGTACTCACTCCTACCTACCTGAGCTTAGGTGCGCGTGCCCTTGTTTTTTTTCTTCTCTCGCTCTCCTGACTCACACCTGTTCGTCACCTGGTACTGGGAAGTGACAATCCATTCGCATTCGTCCGTGCGTCGTCAACACGTGCACCACACGGGGAGAAGTGAAAGTGCTCGTGCTCCTCCATCGGAAGTGCACGGTTTCCCTTTCAGAGTCTCTTTTTTCCACAGGAAGCTCATCCTCATTCCGCAAGGTCTACATAGAGCTTCTTTCTGCCTAAGATTGGGGCGCATCCCAAGCCATTGTGAAAGCATTCAATAGCTGGCGCGCTTATCATGAGATCCTCCTCTATCATTCCAGTTCGGTGTCTCCTTCTCGGTTCCTTCCATGTCATCGTGCGGGCTTAATCGTCAGTTCTCTATGAAGTTTTCACGATCTCTCAAACAGTGAATGAGTGTGGTGTCTTAGCCTTTTTAGGCACGTGGTTATGAAATGGTCGCATTGTTTTTTGTAAGTAGGATTCACACTATACCAGTCGTGATGAGATCAAACGAAGGAAACACGGCTAAGGGCAAGAGAAGGCTTTCGTAACTCATGAATATTGACGGCTTTGTTGCGCACTTCTCAACTTTGTACGCATTACCATCGAGTTTCTCAAGAAAAAGGTGTAGGCTAAGTCCCCATGGTGACAGTCGTATTGAGCATAGGCGTACGAAGGAAATTATCCCCAGAAGAAACCGCTCTAGTTTGACACAGGCGAATGAGTTCTAAGTTAAGAGGGAGTCCTGAGTTCTAATTTCGAATGGCAAATACTCCTTCCATCAATTCCCATGACGTAACGCTCCGTTACTTGACGTGGCCCATGTGGGAGCTAGAAGCCCCATTGACAGCTAAAAGTGTTTGTTCTTTTTTTCTGCCACCGCTTCGGCTTGTCTCGTCTTTCTGTCTTTCCTACCCATGATGCAAGGTGTCTTAGAAATCGTGTAACGGAAATTGACAATTTTTCATTTTAAATTCATATTTTAATTATTATTTCATACTCCCGGGAATGCAAGAATCACAATGAGAGGAACTTGGAGCGTATTTCGCACTGATAAGCCAAACCACGGCACGCCAGGTAAATATTCAAAAACTCTCACTTTTCCAGGATATTCGCCAGTTTCTATAGTAATTATCACTTCAAAAGGTTATTCCCAGATAAAATTGTTGCATGGCTTCTGAAACATCCCCCAAATGTTGCCGATTTCGGGAATAACAGGTGACCAGAGAAGTCATGCAGGTTTTTCTCCGTGGTTTTCAGCTAGATGTTGCCAACCATCTGGAGAAATGGAAATAGCTCCAGGTTTCTCCGTGATCGCTTGATAAGACTCTTATTGGTTAATGCGACTGGTTTTCAGGCGAGATCGCGTTGGGCTCAAAAGTAATGTTTTTTCAAAGGGCGGGAACGCCCGTCATACAAGGCCGGAATCTCAAGGTTCCCGATCGGATTCCCGTCGAACAGCCTAACCCACTCCTCAGATCCTGAACTTGCTCATGTGCGCCGCGGTTGGATGCAGTCTCCTCGCACCTGTGCGCATCGGGACGATCGAATCGTTCCGTCTTCGCTTATGTGGGGACAACGCATCACGTCATCGCCCTTATGTTTACGTTTGCTTTCTCCTAGGACATACAAACATTAGAGAATGACCAAAAAAGGTCATGTCTCACGGTGACTACGGAAGAGGGGGATCCACAGCTTATCAGGTGGATCCCCATGCAGACTACCACGTGCCACCGACGAAACCCCCGCGGAGCAGAAGGGTTCAGGACTTGGAACAGGAATATGACGCAGATGCGTCCATGGACGAGAAAGCCCCTTCGGAACGCGATCTTTCCGAGTATTCCATGGAGATCGACACGAAAATCCCCCACTCCCAATATCGGAATGGAGGATTGGTCAGTGACCACTACACGCCTTCGGACCATTACAAGTCTCCGTCAGAACTCAGGTGAGTCATGTTGCAGAGGATGGCATTGTAATCTCCCCTTTGACCCATTTCCCAGTTGTCTTTTTTTTTTAATACTCCTCCGTGGATAGACGAGCAAGAGGGGGGCGTCTCGAGACGGCCAAATATGGGCTAGAGACGGCGTCACTGCCATGCCCAGCACCAAGGATGCCATAAAGGGAAATAATAGGATAAGGGGGGGAGGGGATAAAGGGAGCGGAGATGCGGCTCCTGCCCTCGCTGATACCTGCGTTCCGTTTCCGTTCCATAACCGACGAATAAAAGAGTCACCCCTCCTTGTCATGCAGATCAGATGAGAAAGGCAGTCGCCTTCAGAATGTTTCAGCAGAGCCAGGAAGAAAGGAGAGAAAGAAAAGCCGCATTCGGTTCGAGACCTGAATCTCATTACGTCGGCTCCTTTCTTCTCCCGCAAAAAGAAAGGATTGATGCTCTCCTTTCCGTGAACACTAAAAAGACGTTAGGGCTGATTGCGTTCTACCTGATGTCTCGTTCGGTCTCTTGGAGCTTTCTTGCGGGGTTCATATTGTCTACAAAATCGTCCAAGGACTTCTCATGCGGCATGCTACATGATGTCCCCATTTCTTTCGATTGAGAAACGGGAACTTTTCTCAGACTGACAACTTCCGATCGTGATTTGCTCGTCTCAATTCAAGGTCATATTTCGACCTCCAACGTAGACAGCTACCGGTCTCTCTTCACACGAGCCTCGTGATGATTCCCCCTTGAATTACTTCCGCTGCCACTTTTCATGGCAGTTATGATTACAATAGCATCTCCTTCTGTGGGTAATTAGAAGAACAAAAGTATCGTGTTCCACTTGATGCAGAGATAAAATATTCCGCATCACGCCCGTCTGATTGCCTCAGTGAACGAGCTACGAGGATGCCAGTAAATCTTTTAGCCCTTTTGGCTGCTCTACTTTTCTACAAGGGACGAAAGTCATTGCAAAGTGCCTCATGACCGAAGCTGGTGGTGTAGTTGCAATAGCATTTGAGAGCATGAATGACAGACAGAGCATGAATAATATCGTCTCACAAGACGCACTCCCACCTAACGAAGATGCTGACACCTGTGAGCGCCGCTCAGGACTATTCATCAGTCGAGCCTTCAGCCATAGATACCGACACGAAGATGAAGTAATGAGCAGTGTTGGAATTTTCGTGAAGGAAAGGTTCAAAGCGGCAAATACGGTTCGGCGTCTACATCCGGTGTATCGGGTGGAGAACGAACCATGTACTTCAGGGTGACTTAGTAGGCAAACACCTACAGGATTGGACATCTGCTAATGTTCTCAACCTCACATCGGCGAGTCGCCTGTCCTGAGCTCTATGAGCAAACAACTGCGGTCGAGCCAGTGAGATTGCCTCCTTCATTTGCTGTGATGTGAGCCGGGAGTCAGCACAGATCGGGCGGTCCATCAGCACAACGTTCACTGGAATTGAAGACTTTACAGACGGCCAGTCGTTGGAGATCCTGTAGGTGTTCATGGACAGCATAGACAAGATTTACTCATTGATAAGTAGTTCGTTCTGGTAGGACATCCTCCACCCAAACGTTTACACCGAACAACGTTTGACGTTTTAACGCTTTCCTTCCAATAGAAATTTCAACACCGCTCCCTGCCTCACCTTTGTGTTCATATGTCTGGCTGGAAGCTCGACCGATGAGCAATCTTAAGCAGCGCTCAGGGCTGCCACATCTTCGTCAGGTGCATATACTTCACGTGATGTGACGTCATCCACGTCCTGTTGTTAAAAGGCCATTGGAGCCACACTAACCCTCGCCCTAAGTTTGCATTACTTTCGTACCCCCCCCCCCCTCTCCCGGTCGTATTCACACGTATTAATGAGATTGTGGTTCTCGGAGAGAAATGACGGAGGTATATAATACAGATACTTCTCTACTTCCAGTTACTACGGACAGAAGAGCGTGGTGTCAGATGCTCCGACGTCAGTGAAGAGCAAAAGTAGGCGCTACGGGAGGGTGGAAGTGGAGACTATGACTGCTCCTCATCCCGCATGCCCCAATACTAAGGGCGTCTGCTGCCTCATGGTCCTTCTCAATCTGGGTCTTCTACTTGTCATCCTTGGTTTCATCGTTGTTCTCCAGATTCGAGACCCTCTCTTTGTCTGGTAAGTCCTCCAGACTCTCAAATCCTGGATGTAGTTTTCAACAGGTGTTTTGTTGATATTGACGCGACCTTTTCAATATTCGGCTGAATTGATGAAGGTATTTCATCAGCCAATATTTTATGGCTCAAATCTTTGGGGAAAAGCATTTCTACTTCAAATGCTATTGTTGTTATTCATATATCAATATGTACATTCTCATAATTCATTGTGATTTTTCTAAAGCAAATTTCATTGATGGAATTGCTCGAGATAATTTGCGTTTGCAATTCAATTCCCTACCCTTATGCAGGTATTTCGGGATCTGCATGCTGATATTTGGCTTCATGACGTTGGTTGGCTCCCTCATCTACTGTGTATACGTGTGCAGAGACAGGAAAGACCCACAGACTTTGCCATATGGAGAACTCTACTGGACTCATCACTGGAAGAAAAACCTGGACTTCGGTGGGAAACGCAAAGACAATGAAATCTACTACAAGCAAGACGATTCCCACAGCTATCGGTCATCTAACCGAAATGACGACATGTACAGTGATTACGGCTCTAATCCTCGAGATCGCTCCCGTTACTGAACTCAGAAAGTGATATAGTTTTGTCCATTGATTGGATACGCTTACAGTTCAGCTTGTTTCTTTCACCTTGTCACTGTGAGAACGATTGTCCCAACGCTTCAAATATGGAGGACACTGGAATCTGTCTCATGTACTGATTGTCAAATGTGACTTCTCAGTGGCAAGATAAAATAATAATTCTGTACATACAAAAAATAAAAGATTTAATTTTTTTTTACCTCTTAAAAATAATGACAAAAACAAGTCAAGAAGAGAGAATGATGATAGCATTCAGTCTTTGCCTGCATTTGTCTTCTTGCTGAAGAAAGACATGATGGACTTCGTTCCCTTTGCAGCTTTAGCAAGCTGTGTCTGTTTCACAGTTGCTGCTGCTGGCTGAAAAACAAAATATACCGAACCTTAGAGCTCTCTTAAATGTTATTAGATTCCTTCACCTCCACCACAGCTGATCACATTTATTGATAAAATAAATAATGCATCCAGGTACCTCAACTGTACTTGTACACTGGTAGAAAAGAGGATCAAAATAAGCATTTCTCCTTTGTCTTATTATTCTGGACTTAATGCATAGAAAGTAAAATATAAATTGTTAATTGTGCATAAAACCAACATTCCTACATGTTCTGATGGCATGAAAATTTCTCAAAATTGGGATATAAAATAAGGAGGAGGGGGAGATTACAAGATCTTCCATTTTCCTGTCTTTGCATGTCTCATGTGGCAGGTACCTGATACATTTTTTTGGATCTGGTACCTGGCTATTGTATTGCCCAAAAAGCTGCATTCCTAATTTATAAATAAACCTGGCATCCCAGTAATATTTTTTTCTTCAGTGGATTGAGATTGAGATTCCATGCAAGATGAACTTGAAAGAAAATAATTTCCCAAGAGCTTTGGTCACCTTCTATGTCTCAATTTTCCCTCAAACAATTGTTTTCATTAGCAATGTCATATCCTGGATTACGTGAGGAGCACATAGCAATCTTACCTTCTATTTCAACCCCAAATCAGATTTCCACGTTCCTCTCTCTTAGCCTTCTCCTTACCTTCATCTTTCTCTTTCATATCTCTCCTCTCACTCCTTCCCTAATTACACCATTGCAGCACAAATACTTTTTGTTTTATATTTTATAAACACATTTCCCATTCAATACTTGTAGTCATTCTCAATAGTTTACAAAGCTAACTTTCACAGATTTAACCACTGGCACACCACCAAAATTTGTACTGCAATGGTTAAGTAGGTGATTGATCCCAATTTTAAATTTTGCTGCAGCTTGTATTGATTCATTCAAGAAGACAACAGTGGAACAACACCTGTTAAGTTCCTCTGATATTTTCTATTTTGATCCCACTGAAATCTGAGGACATGATTGCGACAAAACAGAGGAATAAAACCACATAGGCTAATGTACCATACCCCTAGGAATAGTTGGCAACCCCAGCATACACAAACACAAAATAAAATCAATGCAGTTGGGTGAATATAGAGAAACTGGAGTAAGCCTAGGACACAATTTACATGAGGGGATCAAAGTATGCATAAGACCAATTGTGAAAAATAATACTACTCCAGAAAAAAAGAGCATTGCAGAAGTTGTAGGCATGATGCACCCATCCATCTTTCCTTCTATGTCCAGCTTAGACTCTTGAAAATGTTTTCATGCATCATATATGGTACTGAAGGTGAGTTTTCCAACAATACAGAAATTTTCACAATTGTGAAATGAAATATCAAGCAATGAAAGCAAAATTAAAGAACTCTATCCTCTTGAAAGAGAGAGAATCATATATTCCTCTTTATTCTAATTCACTCATCTCAAGTTCCCAATATATCAGACCTTATTTCCATTTCTATTAGATTGTTACAGTCAAATTGAAGTTCAAATAAGAGCTAGGGTTGTCAACTCTTCAAATCAGACCAGGAGAATCTTTCATGTGTGATATGTTCAGAGCAAGGGTGGGTTGGTTAGATGAAAATGTATAATTAGTAGGTATTTAGTGTGGTAATCTGGACCTGATAGGCCCACCTTTAGTGGAACACTAAGGATTTTTGCCCTGGGTGGAACATCTGTTGCATTTCTGAGGGTCATGAATTCAAGTGGTCATAAGGGGGTTTCCAGGAAGAAAAATTCATTTTGGTCTCAAAATTACTTCATTGCCCCAAGTAATCTACCTTGAATTGGATGCACTTGGCCATGTGATTCATGATCTTTTTCATTCCCTCACGGGCTGTTTTTTGACATGGCCGGGCCAATATATCGAACTTGATGCCTGTCCCTAAAGCACGGCTGGGTAATATATCAGTCCTAAAATGTAAGCAACTTCATCTATTGACTGTAGAAATCCTGTGCCAGTTTGAATAGAATTTGAATAGTTTGGCCACTATTGTTTGTCTAATTACAGCTTCTGTGATATTGGCTATAGTAGCCATATTCTGTCCATGTTAAAAGGGTTAAAAATGCCATGGCCACTGCTGCCCTCACTTCATTCGGACTTCATTCTCCACTGAGTTCCTTTTTCATTACTGGAAAGAAAATTAAGTATGAACTCAAATCTGGAGTCTGGAGGGTTAGACAAAATTTCCTAACTCCAGTTTCTTAAGGCAGTGACCCTCCACCTTGCAGAACCCCATTTTTTTAAAATGGAAAATGACTCCTGATACAAGCCACTTGAACAGAGTGTGATCACTATTTTGGGAATTGTTGGGAAATATTGCCTGAATCCATGCATGACTCCATACAGTCCTGTGACTTCTATCTTTCCAGCCATGAAGGAGCACTGTAGTGAAAACTATGACAGCCAAATTGCAATCAATTTAGCAGCGGTAGCAGCAGCCATAGCATTGCAGGGCATCCAGAAGAATGGGCTCAGTGAGGGACAGAAACAAATAATTGTTGGGTCAAGTGTATCCAATTCAAGGGAGATTATTTTAAGTAATGAGGCAATTGCATCTTCAAAATGAGTCTTTCATTTTATATGGTAAATTGGTGAAAAGAGTTTTTCAATCAGAATTTGTAGCAATGAGGGAAAAATCTTTACAAATCTTGCAATTTTTGCAAGGTTTACAGACAAAAAAATTTACATGTGTGGTTATCATAATTTTTAACATTCTCATCTGAAAATATACAATGATTCACTACAGGGTTCTCATCAAAGTGAAGGAGGAGGTAATCAACTAACCTTGGAATCTTTCACATCACCTATTGCACCACTGTAATCCTCCAATGGCTCTACTTTGGTCTTTTTCAATGCCCTTCCACCTTCAACCTCCTCTTCATTTGTGTCACATTGCTCTTTAAGCTCCTTCTTCGATGGAAGGTTGAGAATTTCCCTCAACTTCTCAGAAAGGTAATCTTTGACATAGTCACTCACAATATTGAAAGCATGACGAAGACACTGTTCTGGAAAGGCAAATAGACCATTAACATACTGCATCAAATGCCTAGATGATTATGTAGGAAGGAAGCATTTAAATCATTCCACCTTTGTCAATGCTGGCAGTAGATATAGAACTAGCCTTGTAGTTTGCAGTCTTGTGAAGAGGAATCCTTACACCACTTGTCATAATGAAGTTCTGGAGTGTAGTAGTCTTGAGTTTGAGCCATATGAGAACTTTCTCCTCTGAGTACTTAAAGGCAAGACTCCCATTGATTTCTGGGAAGAGAAGACAGAAATTTAGAAGTCTTGTCTTTGAATATAGATGGTATTCAACATCACAACACTTCGCCATTCAAAAGCCACACTGATATCCAAAACTCACCCTTATGATTGCATATAGTTTTCACTTGAGCAGGAGAGACACTGTGGTATACTTTTTGGTAATCTGGATAAGCTTCACTGAAAAACAAATCCTCAAATGGAATGAAGTTCCTGTCTGCAAACTGAAAGAGCACACAGTACAAAAGGTTGACAAAAATATGGGCTACATATATGTGTAAGCTATAGTTTCATAGCGTATTCTATTTTAAACAAATTTACTGTGGGGAAATGTGGGCAAAAACTAGGCTTGGGTCTCTTTTAGCTTGAATTGAGAAATTCTCCTAGAGTGGTAGAGACACCTCAGGAGATTCCTCAGGGAATCATGGCAACAGATAGTTGAGCCAAAGGAGGCACTGTATTCAGAATGCTTACCTTCTGAAGCAGAGGTATAATAAGGAACAGTGGATCCAAGGGTGTCAGGAATAATACCCTCCCATCTGAGAGTACAGCTTCACCAATGAACCAGGAACTGCAATGAGAAGCTAGAACTGCTAATCCAGTGAAATTAATTTACTAACCCTTCTCTTACTTGAACTTCTGAGCAACTTTTGACAGCAGCAAGTATGTAGCTGAATTCCCTGATGTTGAATTTTTGCCAAGTAGAGCAAAGATGCAACCCAACTAAATTAGGGTAAATTGATCAAGAGACTGAGGGAAATTGCAGTTGACCTATAAAAGCGTAAATGGCTCTCTTATGTTCTTCTGTGTCACATGATGCTGTTTCTGTTTTACATGACAGTTTAAACTTGGAGAGTAAATATCTCATGAGACATACTACCCATGAGTCTGTCAAATATAAAGCCAAGTCAATGTTCCATCCAGGAGATTTCAGCCAAAATGTCATTTGACATTGTGACTGAAACTAATGCTGGATATCCCTGAATGGAACCAGCTGGAGCTAGGAGAGTTAAAGTTTTCAGAACAATCAAAGAATCTTTATTCATAATTAAATATACCAGGTGATCCCAAAAAGTCCTGAATTCACATGCCTGCTGATGGAAACCCCATAGGAGTTGAAGGCAGATAATGTACAGGGTGTCACATCAAACATGAATCAATGGTTTCTGAAAATTTTAATTGAATAAATCATTCAGTACCTGAGTTCGTTTCTTCTAAAGACCCTCCAATATTTAGATCTAGGAAGGACTAGGATGCAACTGCAAATTCTATGTTCACAGGAACGATTATAAGAATGGGAGCACATTCATTGTCTCAACTGCTTCCAATTTTTTACATCTTGATGCATAATACTACCTCCTGGACTTATTGGAGTGATCTCACTTCACCTGCAACTTCCCATACCATGAGGGATGAAACTGTCCATCATAAGCATTAAAAAATCAGGTTTCTGCATAGAATGCTACAGCATTTATACAACTTCAGTAAATTTTTACACCCAATTAATTGATTCAGAATTGCAACAATCTTGACAATTACTTGGGCTTTATATCAACTCCAAACCTTAAGTGACGTGAATCTAAAAGTCCAAAGCAGTGGGCCTGTCTCCTTCACTGAATAGCAATTGTGCCAATAAATCTCAATGTGGTGAGCTAATTTCTTCCTACCAAGACCATGGCTATAATAATAGCCTATCTGAGAGTACAGCTTCACCAATGAACCAGGAACTGCAATGAGAAGCTAGAACTGCTAATCCAGTGAAATTAATTTACTAACCCTTCTCTTACTTGAACTTCTGAGCAACTTTTGACAGCAGCAAGTGTGTAGCTGAATTCCCTGATGTTGAATTTTTGCCAAGTAGAGCAAAGATGCAACCCAACTAAATTAGGGTAAATTGATCAAGAGACTAAGGGAAATTGCAGTTGACCTATAAAAGCGTAAATGGCTCTCTTATGTTCTTCTGTGTCACATGATGCTGTTTCTGTTTTATATGACAGTTTAAACTTGGAGAGTAAATATCTCATGAGACATACTACCCATGAGCCTGTCAAATATAAAGCCAAGTCAATGTTCCATCCAGGAGATTTCAGCCAAAATGTCATTTGACATTGTGACTGAAACTACTGCTGGATATCCCTGAATGGAACCAACTGGAGTTAGGAGAGTTAAAGTTTTCAGAACAATCTAAGAATCTTTATTCATAATTAAATATAACAGGTGATCCCAAAAAGTCCTGAATTCACATGCCTGCTGATGGAAACCCCATAGGAGTTGAAGGCAGATAATGTACACAATGTCACATCAAATATGAATCAATGGTTTCTGAAAATTTTAATTGAATAAATCATTCAGTACCTGAGTTCGTTTCTTCTAAAGGCCCTCCAATATTTAGATCTAGGAAGGACTAGGATGCAACTGCAAATTCTATGTTCACAGGAACGATTATAAGAATGGGAGCATATTCATTGTCTCAACTGCTTCCAATTTTTTACATCTTGATGCATAATACTACCTCCTGGACTTATTGGAGTGATCTCACTTCACCTGCAACTTCCCATACCATGAGGGATGAAACTGTCTATCATAAGCATTAAAAAATCAGGTTTCTGCATAGAATGCTACAGCATTTATGCAACTTCAGTAAATTTTTACACCCAATTAATTGATTCAGAATTGCAACAATCTTGACAATTGCTCGGGCTTTATATCAACTCCAAACCTCAAGTGACGTGAATCTAAAAGTCCAAAGCAGTGGGCCTGTCTCCTTCACTGAATAGCAATTGTGCCAATAAATCTCAATGTGGTGAGCTAATTTCTTCCTACCAAGACCATGGCTATAATAATAGCCTTCAATAAAGCTCAGAAATGCTAACATATTCCTTGGACAGTCCTATAATAGTTGTGTGTGTTTAGATGATTGCCACTTCCTTTTTCAACATAATGCTTAACTATGCTGATCCATGCAAAAATCAATGGTAAAAAAAATAATTGTTACAAGAGTTCCAGACAGGCAGTTCAGGTATTAGCTATAGCTATTTCATTTTCAATTTGTTGTTGGTACCTGTGAGGTGATCAGAAATCCAGAGATAGAGTGGGCAGAATCAGGGTTGGATAACATACTTATCTTCTGGCATTTAAAATGTAGCATACAAAATACCCCGAATGAACTATTTCAAATACCAAATAAAAATACATATGCAGGAGAATATTAAGAAATGAGTAGAATATTTAAAATACATTAGAAAATGAAAACCCATTTTCCATTGGCTGCTAATGAAATCTGAGGAGCAAAGATTTAAAGTCTTTCCTCTTTGCTAGTTCTCATTCATGAGAGTTACATCTCTTTCAATTAACCTCTTCAGGGATGAATATTTTGACATGGAAAAAAATAAAAACAAAAATATTACAAGTGTAGAGCACTTTGCAAGCTGGGGGAACAGTGATCCCAACTGCAATGAAAACTCCCAACAAATTGGCATCATCTGTGTCATCTGAGCAGTTGGGGATAAGTCTTTCACCAATTTAAAATGCATTGAATCAAATGTCCACATTTGTGCCAGTATCCCTGAAGAGGTTAGCATGGTTCTTTCATCCTATGACACATCATATTATACATTTTATTAATAAAATAAAGGGTACAATTAAATTTTAAATGAAATATTTTTTTCTATATTTCAAAGCTTCAAATTTCTTCTGCAGACATAAAATCTGTAACAATTTGACAGTAATATCATTCAGCAACACTGACAAGATCTCCACTCAAGCAGGTGAATTAGTGTGAGAAATATGGACAACTTGAGGTGTTCATTGACTACTGAAAAAAAAAACCAAAGTTGATAAAAAAAAATGTCCAAATAGCAAAAATGTTCTGGTCTATATTATTTTGCATTTCAAGAAGTAATATACACAATGCAAATTACTCTAGATCAGGGATGTCAAACTTGATTTGGCCAAGGGCCAGAAAGATTTGTGCAAGGGTGGTTGTAGGGCACAAACTAATCTCACACCTCATTTTTAATGCAAGAAAGTTGAAATTTGCAGCAATTTTCCTAATTGCACTGTTGAAGAGGAATTTGCAGGCTGCCTGTTTGACACCCCTGCTCTAGGTGATGCAAAAATTTAGCACACCAAATAATTTGTATTTCAATCAGGCTTATTAACTGCCCTCAACATATGGCAGTATCTACAGGTCTCTAATTATGTTATTCTATACAGAATGACATGACAGAATTGACATGGTAAATGACAATGTGCCAGAAAATGTCTCCTTTGCTTGCTGTAGAAATTTTAGATCCATGTGTCCTTTCTCCTTAGCCAGAATCAAATTTAAATATTGTCAACAAGAACTTTATCGTTTTTCATAATAAAAGCGATCAAGCAGTCCACAAATAACTGAATTTAAATTTGTGATCAATTAGTAGCTCTGCAATCAACTTTCCAACTAAATGATGGAATGACTGAAGTTTTACCAATTATTTTAAACAGAGTACATTATTCAAATGACTGTCTGATTGAAATGAGTTGATAAGCTCAACCTTTCAAAGCCAACTGAAAAATACAGTATCTTTGGCCGAGAAATGGATGAGATTGAACAACACATGAATCAAAAATGTCACAGCTTACCGATAGGGCTCTGAAAATGCCAATGCCTCCAGGATGCGGCCACCATCTTGCAAGATGTACAGCTGCGGTTGTTCATACTTTGGATCAGGTATTGTAATGTATCGAAGGCCGAGGTCTAACTCTCTGCCTCCCAGAAGTGATGCTGCAAGAAAATGATTGGACTAACAATAAGTTGACCAAGGACTAAGAAATGTATATCTATCACCTGACTTATAATTCCGATATTACTCAAGGCCAAAAAGCAGCCGGGATTAAGCTTAGGCCTACGACTAATACTAACTCACATTTGGTACAGATGACAAGGCGATGCGGAACGGAGCTCATTTCGGCAGAAACGTTTCACTCTTTACTAGGCTACTTAGGGTGTTGTTGGAGAAGGTTGAGGAATCCTTTGGAGATGGAGGTAAAATTAATAAATGCACTAAACTCCACTCGCCCAACTAAGCGAGATCGGTCTAGGGCTTAGCAAAATCTCCACCTTATAGCAGTCAAGCTACTCCACTTACACCACGAGGCACGAGCATTGCGCGGGTAAAAGTATGCCTAGACCCCTGTTGAGCGCTGGAAAGGAAAACGTTTCAAATGACATAATGAAGATGTCTCTCAACTTAGCTGCAGCTCGTGCATCAGAGGAGGCGGTTCCACAGGATGGCATGTGCTTCGCTTTTTAGCATTCGATTATCATGCCCATTCCACGCCACAGGCCTTGATGGAAGTGTTGCGAGGAATCTTTCTTATTTGCCTTGCCTATCCCTTTCGTGACCCTCAACCCGATCGATATGTCGGTGAATCTAATCGTGGACCAGCACCAAGTGAGTCTCTGAGGGCTAGTCCTGAGATCAACTCTGATCTAGTCAGAAATCGACGAACTGCGCAATTTTTTAATTGGCTGGGCATTTAGCCTGCAATCGTCAATATCGTTATCAAAGAACTTTCCGGCTATTCTGACAAAAATTGGTGCCTCAGTAAGATGAAGAAAAAAAAATTATTTAACAATAAAATTCAACGGGCATAAGTGAGTATTGGTCTTCGATAGGTCAAGAATTAAAAAAGCATTTTGTGTATGAAGGGATCGGTGTATGAAGGGAAGGGCCAAAGGGAATAAGATCATGACACCACGAAGTCAAATACAACCATTCGAGCCAACTAGATTTTTTCGTTTTTTCCTTCAATTTGTTTCTACCTTCAACTTGGTATTTCCCCCTCTTCAAATCATCTTCAAAGCTTATGTTTGCTTTTCTTCTTATTCCGTGGTCCCAATTAGAGACTATTGTCGTTTGCATTCATCTCTTCGGAGGAAGGACTTCATCTGGTGTAAGAAAGCTGAAAGATTAAAATGCGAAGACAAAAGGAGAGAATGGCACTTGTGCTACTTTCAAAAGCCTAACAAAGACGCTCTCTGGGAGTGGGCTTCATCAACGGAATCATCGTCAACTGAAATTTGATCCACGTGCTCAAAGGAAAGGATTTATTTATGGAAGGATCAGGTTTCCAGACCTTGGTGGTGAAAGATGCGTAGGCAGGAAAAGTCAGCGCCGTAGCGAATCCTGTATCTCACGTGAGCACGTCTGTCCTCTAATTAGGGCGGGCACTCCTGCCAACTTAAGACGTACAATATGGTAAATGTGTCTGATACATTCTTTTGAATGAACGATAGAGGACTTGGCATGCCAGCTCAATTTTTCTCATTTCTGCCGAGTACCTGAACAAAATTGAGACATTGGGCTCTGAGAAGGGATGGATGAAGGAGAGAGAGAGAGAGGGAGCAAAAAAACGGTTTTGCGTATCCGACTCGGCACGGGGAGACGCGAAGTAGAGGGGGGGAGGACCATTCCGTGCCATAAGGGCTACCAACCATAAGTGACCTCCCCCCTCCCAGTCCCTAAGAGAAGAGAGACTGAAGAGAGGGAAGCATCCTCGTTCCTCTCTCAGTCAGGCCCGACGGGGCTTCAAAGCGTTGCTTCTCTCCTTTCCTCCCCTCGGCCTCGAGTGTGCTTAGAAAATGGGGTGAAGTGACTCTTCGCACGAACTCTCCTTCAACATTCCAGACCAATTTGTACGTGTGCTCCCCAGTCGGTCATTCTTCACGCCGTTCTCTACATGTGGGTGGTGATGGGATTAAGTACTGAGGGCTATAGAAACCTTGCCAGAGGGTAGAACTCAATCGTCTCGTCCAATTATCGTGCTTGACGCAGCGATTCCAGTTCCTAGTCTTGGACATGAACAGAGGGCACGGAATTGCTCACGAATGGGTCGTTTTGCACATTTGATGATAGCCCGGAAGCCACCAAGCTTTGCTTCCAAAGTTCAGGTGAGGGTCCTCTTTGTCTTCCTTTTTGCCTCAGTGGCTTCCCTCAGCAAAAAAAAAAGTTAAAACCCGAATTCTGTTATTTTAGACCAAGAAGAAGGATAATGGATCTGATCCGAGCGAGACCCGCATGGAGTAATGACTGGTCATTCGAGTCCAATCTCATTAAGTTCTTTGATTAATGATGGGATGATGGTCGCCAGGGCGAGGGTTGCCCTTCGCATTTTAATGTTTCGTGTTGGCTTCATGATATCCTTGTTCGCACCGCGATTATCAGCGCAGGTCAAGGCACGGACAGACTCGTGTCGTGCCGAGTAACTATAACAGGAAAACAGGAGGGATAGGTCAAAAGAGGGAAAGCAAAGCATGTGCAACGTTGTTTCGGTGTGCAGTACGCTTATTCTGGACGTAGATCTGGCTTAGGAGTTAGGGCGTTTCCTAGGCACGGATGAAGTACGGTGCATGAGGCGAATTCTCATTCCCGTACGAGCGCTTCACAGTACAGCATCAGTGTTTCCCGCTGTCTCTTTTTCTCTTGTTCTGCTTGTCTCACACTTCAGTTTCGACGCCCCTAAAGGGATATTTTCTTCCACGTGCCACCGAAGCAGCTGCTTTGGAAGGCTGCAGCTTTGTAAGCACAGCTGTCCCCTGCCAATATTCTTGACCTCATGCTTCGCGGTTTGACCAGTCGCTCATTTCTCATCTCCCCCAATTAGCCGCGTGCACGATTCGACTTTGCACACCAAATGGTGCAGCTTCCTGTTCTTCGGGATGTTGCTCCGTACATCTGGATAAGTTAATTGATAGCATTTCCGGGTCTCACTTGCTTAAAGATGGAGTCGAAGTGATTTCGAGAAGGAATTCTGAGGGGGGAAGTTAAAAAAAAAGAAAGCAAAGGCAATTCATAAGAGGTTGTCGCTTGAACGTGGAAAATCGTGGGTGTGGTGAGAAAAGGAACAGCAGTGAGCCGGTCTCGCTCTGGTTCTCTGTCTTCAGAAAGCCGTATGTCGTGTAATAATCCGCCGCCGTTTTCCCAACCAGGTCTGCCTCTGCCTTGTCACGTTGCTTCTTGTCATGGTAATTTTGTTTACTCCCGGCCCCCAAGTATTTATTGTGCAAAGGGAGGCATGAAAATTCCTGGCAAGGGAAGGCAATGCAAGCGAACGGCGAGGGAGGTCAAGTCCCTTTCAAGATCCCCGTGAGAGAGGAAGAAAAGAAGAAAGAGGCTGAAAAAGAGAGTTCCGGCCTCCCCCACCCCTCCACCTAGGGAACAGTGAAGTCAGTTCAACTTATGAGACACGTCAAGGATCAACGAGGGTGGGAGACATCGTAGTAGTGTGTGGTCTTTATTGTTGCTCCGCATCCCTCCTTGGATTTGAGAAGGATTCTCCCCCCTCCCTCCGATTCCATTGCCATCAGACAATTAGCATTCGATATGGCAGATGAGTAGAATCTTTGACTGCTCGACTTCAATCCGCAAACAATGCGAGGTACGACTTCACTGTGCAAGGCATCGAGTGTGCTAATCTTGCTCTTCGTGTTTGTTCGCCATTCTTTCCCCTTCACGTGACTTCTCCTTGAAACTTCTATTGGTGGTGGGAAGGTGGTGATTTTCTTCCTGGTTCGCACATTTCCGCCACTTCATTGCAGTACCGTTTGGTGCGGAAGCGGTTCGTGCCGCTCCCGGCATGAGGGAACTCTCAGCTTCCCGTTTCGTGGATGACATCGGATTTCGAACCGAATGAAAATCACCTGTTATTCAACACTGGATGCTGCAATTGAGATCACCGCCGCAGGCAACACGGGTATGATTGTCAATTGACGAATAACCTCTAATGCTAAATGGATGAATCAGAAAGCGTGAAATTTCATGAGTCCCGGATATCCGGCACGAAGTTCAGATTCATCCCAACAAGGCTAATATAGCAGGTGGAATCTTTCCGCACGTGTTGAGGTTTTTCCCTTCGAAGCAGGATGGGTATGAGTGAAAATATGCTAACACGGCAATGTGTGCGACATCTGTTTGTTCCCTGTATTCCGTCCCGCGATGGAAGATAACCCTTGCATACCACGCATAATGCAGTTACGTGGTACCGATGAGATGAAGCTGGTGTGCCTGGCATAGCTCAGTGGATTAATGACGCTCTGTGAGGACAATGAGGAGGGAAAAGCCACTTCAAGGTCGTCTTCTGCATCTTCATCTGAATGCTCTGCCCAGGAGGGGCTCTCGATTGCCATCATGACTGGAATCTTATCCTTGCTCGTTCCCCTCTTTTTATGTTCCTTCATCGAACGCTACGGCTATTTGTCCTGCTTTAAGCTAATGATAGCCTAAACCACCAGCGTTAATTAGCCAGGACACGCCGATTCATCATCTTTATTCTTCACAGATTACACGTTCAGCGTTATCGCGAGTAAAACTTTCTAGGCTCATCAGCGCGTGTTGCGCCAGCCCGTCGTCGAATAAAATAGGGTTGACAAGCGATCGCCATGAAAGTCGAGACTGATGTCTCCCATGTTTACCCCTCAACACGTCGCTCTGCCAAACGTGATCAGGACAGGTTTACTGCTGATTGCTCCCCTTATGGGCCACACATGGCGAATAAGACGTGAGAACAGAGGTGCAACGCATTTTCCCCTCCGGCTAGGATCAACTGACCAACAGCCTCATCCCCCGATTCCCCGAACCTTTTTCTCGGATGCGCATAATAGCCTCCAAATGGAGGCGTATTTTTCACCTCCGGTCCCTCGTGCTTCCCTCCCTTTGTGAACCAGAACTGATCGTCCTGGTAATGGCTTCCTTTGTCAATCAGACAACTGGCCACTTTGAACCCTTTCCCATGTCCCGTATCCCCCCGCTTTCGCTGTTCCCCGTGTTTTCCATGAATCGCATTCCCAACGGCCAACGAAGCTATCCCCATTCCATGATGACATTATGGAAATCTGACCCGCATGGCTTGATATCGCAGGGTAATAGGACGGCTGTGTTGAAACCTGCTTGCTTCGGACTTGAGACAGGCACGAAAGACGGGGTCAATGCTTGCATGTGCTGTGAAAACATTCCTGGTTCTGCATTACATCCTTTAGGATGAGGGAAGAAAAAGCGCAGAGGCTGGCATCTGTTCCAGCTTCCTTCCTTCGTCTGACTGACGGCATTGAGAGTAACCCGAGAAATTACAGAGTGTCAAAGAAACATCTCTTTCTCATCCTCTGCCC